GCGTGGAGTAGCAGAGACTACGGGCACGGGACCTCCAACTGGGACCTGGGGTACTCTTGCATCCCGGTGCTGTCGCCTGGCCGCGTGCTCGACCTAGCTAGGTCTCAGTTTTGTCACACCGCAGGCGCCCGAACATCAGCGGCGGTTAGCTGCGACCCTGGAGGTGCCAGCGCCCACCGCCCCCACAGATGTTCCGGCCTCTGCGTTGGCAGTCCAGCCGTCAGCGTGGCAGGCTGCCCATTCTGGACCACGCCAACATCGGACGTGAGACCTACCATTCGGCACTACCTGCACTTCAGCGGCGGTTTGCTGCGACCCTGGATGGCCCTCGGGGAATGGCGGCCGTGTCCCCTGGCCAGGTTCACCTGTGACCCGTGCGTTGTGCGGTGCCGTCTGTCCCGTCCTTCGGGCTCGTGTCTTCCCGCGGGGGCTCAGGGTGCTTCTGCGTCCCAGTGCTGTCTGCCCTGGGCCGTCTGCCGCCACCCTCCGTGGGTGCTCCGTCTTCACTCAACCCAGAGCGGCGTTCGCCGCGACCCTGGTTCCTCTCGGGGTGCAGCTGGGACTGCGGGCGCGAGAGCGCCGCGACCCTGGATCCATGCGGGGAGTAGCAGAGACTACGGGCACGAGACCTCCCCCTGTTACTCGGGGTGCTCTTGCATCCCGGTGCTGTCTGACAAGGGCCGCCTGCCGCCACCCTCCGTGGGTGCGCCGTCTTCACTCAACCCAGTGCGGCGGTTTTCCACGACCCTGGAGCTACGTATTGGTTTCGTCGCACCCCGGGCGCCAGAACACCAGCGGCGGTTAGCTGCGACCCTGGATGTACCGACACACGCCGCCCCCCACGGATGCGCCAGCCTCCGCGGTGGCAGCCCAGCCTTCAGCGTGTCAGTCCACTGGCTGCAGGCTGCCCGCCCTGGACCACGCCAGCATCGGACGAAAATCCTACCGTTCGGTACTACCTTCCTCTCAGCGGCGGTTAGCTGCGACCCAGGATGCCCCACTCACGGCGGCTGTGTCCCCTGGCCAGGTCCACGCGGGGAGCAGCAGACTCCATAGGCACGAGGCCTCCCGCGGGAGCTCAAGGTGCTCTTCCATCCCGTTGCTGTCGGCCATGGGCCGTCTGCCGCCCCTCCCCGTGCGCGCTCCGTCTTCGCTCAACCCAGAGCGGCTGCGGGGAGTAGCAGGAGACTACGGGCGCGTGACCTCCCACGGGGGCTCAGGGTTCTCTTGCATCCCGGCGCTGTCTACAAGAGCGGCGTTCGCCACGACCCTGGACCCGCGCGGGGTGCTGCTGTGACTACGGGCACGAGTCCGCCGCGACCCCGGATCCATGCGGGGAGTAGCAGAGAGAGACTACGGGCACGGGACCTCCCACTGGGGCTCAGGGTACTCTTGCATCACGGCGCTGTCGCCTGGCCGCGTGCTCGACCTAGCTAGGTCTCAGTTTTGTCACACCGCAGGCGCCCGAACATCAGCGGCGGTTAGCTGCGACCCTGGAGTGGCCTATCATTCGTTATTATTTGCACTTCAGCGGCGGTTAGCTGCGACCCTCGAGGATTCTCGAGAAGGGCACCAACGCCGGGCGAAGGACCTATCACTCGTTAATATTTGCACTTCAGCGGCGTATAGCTGCGACCCTGGAGGATTCTCGAGAATGGCGGCCGTGTCCCTTGGCAGGCAGATCTGGGGCCCGTTCGCCGGGCGTTGAGGTGCTTCCTCCTCGCCTCTCCCCTCGGGCTCCTCTCGGGCCGGGCGGGTGTCCCCCGCCCTTGGCCCTCGGGGCTCGCTTCCTTGCGCTTCCCTCACCGGGCGCCCCCCTCGGTGGCCCCCCCTGGGAACGGTCGGTCGCGTCTACCCCCCCCTTCCCCCCGGGCCTTCTACTGGCGGGGCTTTGCCAGGCGTGCCGACTGGCATCGATGGCTTCGCCCCTCCTCCCCAGGGCCGCCCTGGGCCCCCGGTGTCCGTGGTAAGTTTCCTCGCTTTCAGCGGCGGTTAGCTCTGGAGGCCCGCGCGGCGCGTGGTTGACGGCGACCCTGGGCTCCCGCGGGGAAGGGCGGAAGCGAGGTCGGCCCGCGGTGGCCATCGGCCCCGCGCGGCTGCTACAGCGCAGCTTCACCCAGGTCGCCCCGCCCTCCTAGCAATGGTTTTCCCGCTAGCTTGGACACGCGCCACGCGCCGCCCCTGGAGGTGCAGCCAGCTTCGTGTACTTGGAGGATAAGGCCGTCCCTCGGTGGCCTTCGGCGTACTTCAGGCGGCAGCTGTCGTGCCCCCTGTGCAGCGCCCCCCTGGATCCCCCTTCCTCGCTGGCGATGCTCGCCACGCCTGCCTGGCTTTCTCCTCTAGTCCATCTGGCCTGGCGCTGTGCCGTCGTCGACGGGGCCGGCTCGCGGTCGTCCGGGCCTGCCACGTGCCATGTCTGGTGGACTTTCGGGTGCTGTGACCGCGCCGGAGTGGTTTGGCCTTTCGCAGCCGCAACAGCACCCCAGGCTCATCCCCCCTCTTCCGGCAGGTTTGCGACGTTCCACGTTCCTCGGCAGCTCCGCTCTCCTAGCCAGCACGCGTCGTTGGGAAGGATTGGGCCTGGCGCCCCACTGGCGACTCGCTCATCGGGCTTCGCGCATGCCTCCACCCAGCATGACGGGCACGTCAGCCCCGGTGCACGTCATGTGTCTGTGTGGGGTATGCCTCGCGGCAGGCAGCGAATTTCTCGACATGATGTCAGACTGCGCGTGCCCGAGCTTCCCAGGATGTCGCCTGCCGTCAGCTTCCCGCGCAGCCCCGCGGCTGCTTTGCGAGTGGGCCGGCCGGCTAGCGGCGCGTCTTGTAGCTAATTAGGCTTGCCCGTCGGCCTGGGCACCCTGTTCGCCGCGTGCGCCCTTCGCCCGCGGCCCCGACCGAAAAAAGTACCCCCGCCACCCCGTCCAGAAATGAGGCCCAGGGGAGTGGAGGTTATGAGGGGAGCGGGGGAGCATGTCATCTTGGACTCTTTGGGGCGCTCTTGGAGCCATCTTGGGCCATCTTGGATGTCTCAACGCGTCGCGAAACGCCCCGTCCATGTCAGTGGGGAGGGGTGAGGGGAGGGATAAACCCCTCCCCGAAGGGAAAGAATGGGGGTTGGAAGAGGAAGCTCTCTAGACCACCGACGCTTTAAAGGGCTGGTGGGATTGGGACTGTCTGTCGGTCTGGTGGCTATGTTTTCGCCGACGCCGCCCGGTCCCCGCCCCGTCGCCACCTCGTCGCCGCCCGTCGTCTGGGCTTGTCTGGCGTTCTGGTGGCTATGTTGCCACTGTCGCGGCCCCGCATTGTCTCAGCCGCCCCGTTGCACAACATCATTGCCCCGCGTCGATTGCACCACGTCGACTGCGCCAAATATATTGCACCACTTAGACTGCTCCACATAGGTGCGCATTATATATTGCTCCACATTTATTTTCGTTTTACAAGGAGAATCGATTCTCCCCCCCCCCCCCCCAGGATTATCGGTACCCCGTTTCGTATGGCAATGTGCATATGATTCTGCCCCATCGTCCAGCCTAAATTTGAGTTCGTACCATCCTTGGCCGGCCGGTATCCCCCCCGTCATCCTTTGCAACAAATAATATGCGGACGCATTCGTTTTTCAAAAGGCATCAGTTTTCAAGAGCCCCTTGCAACAGTTGGGACGAAGTGCGCACGCGCGCGTCGTCGCGCGCGCATGCCGAAATCCTCCAACAGGTATCGGTTTCGGAAGGATTCCACAATGGAGTGTCCAAACGACACATAATCACATGGTTTTCTTAACACGGAGTTTCAAAAAAAGCGTGCGCGCGCGCTCTTCCCTCATATCCGAAATCTTTTCAAAAGGCATCGGTTATTTATTACATTTTCAGAACATACTACCAAACTGGCTGCGCGCGCATTTCGGAATCGTTCGAACGCCCCTGCGCGCGTGCCGTCGCGAGAATCCTTTGCAAACATCGGGGCGAAGTGCACGCGCACGCGTCGCCGCGCGCGCATGCCGCAATCCTTCATAAAACCTGGGTTTCGTAACGATTTCAAAACCGAATGTCCAAGCCACATTCAAAAACAATTGGTTTCGCAACATCAGTTTCGAAAAAACGTGCGCGCGCGCTCTTGCGAATTCTTAAGAAAATCATGGTTTTCAACATTTCCATGGAATTCTGCCAAATTGGCCTCTCGCGACGCATGCCGACATCATTCGCACGCCTTTGAGCGCGTGGTGGTGGGGGGGGCGCGATCCGCTTCAAATAGTGTCGGGCCACTCTCGCGTGTCGGCCGCTCGTGCATGTCGAATTGTGTACAAAACCTTTGTCGCCGCCCCGAGGATGCCGTCATCGTCGTCGGCGTGATCAGCATCCCCGCCGTCACTGGCCGTGGTCGTCGCTGTCAGCATCGTCACCAGCATCACTACTATCATCACCGTGTCTACCGTTGTCGACGTTGCCATGATACCGCGCCCGCCCAAGTGTCGCCGACTTGCGCTGAAGTGCCCGCTGGGATGTGCCCAGCGGTCAGCGCCACCGCGGCTGCGTCGGTCGCGCCAAACTGCATGCGCGCGCGTGCACGCGCGGGCTGTCGAGGCCGCAGAAATGCACGAGCCAGCGCCAAACACTCATCGCAATCCCCGCCGCATCGGGTTCGCAAACCAAGTTGTGGGTGGGTGGGTGGGATGTTTGCGCGAGCACTGGGGTGGACAACTTCAAGTTAAGCGTTGAACGTTGAACCGTAGTTTCCATCACGGGTATTGAAAAGCAAACGTCGCACCACATGGGTTGCAAAACATATTGTGCACAACTTATGTGCGCAATCTAATGTGCGACACGTACGTAGCACCACATCGATTGCTCTACACGTATTGCACAACGTAGACGGTCAGAAACATCCTGTTAAAGGGGTCCACGATGGTTAACAGGATGTGATCGACCATGATGATGATGCAGAGCAGGGGCAGAGCAGGGTGCGGCTGCCCGCGCGATCGTCGTTTCCGAACCAAGCTGCAGGAGTTGGGGCGGCTGGAGCTGAGGTCGTCGTTTGTGTCCTCGCCTCAGTCAGCCGTTTCCGCTGTGCGCGGCTTTACGGTCGAGGCAATTTGCGCTCGCGCGGGAGATCTGCTTGGCGTGTCGGCCTCCACCTTTCTGCCTGGCAGGCATGTGCTGCTGGGACTTCCTTCTCCTCCTCCTCCTCCTCCTCCTCTTTCCGTCTTTTTTTTCTTATCTTTTCTCGTCTCTTCTCCGTCCTCTCTTACTCTCCTCTTCTCGGTCCCTCCCCCGTCTCTGCTCCTGGCTCCTCTTGCAGGCCGCCAGCCGGCCCGTCCCTTCCCGGGGACGGTTCGTGTTCGTTCGTTCGGTCGCTCGGTTGCTCGCTCCCGATCTTCTGGCGGTCTGGAGGTCTCTGGCAGGTCTTCCGAGGTCTCTAGAGGCAGATGTCCCCCTGAGGCCTCCAGAGGCCCTTTTCTGGAGGGTCGAGCTAAGACAAGAACATCGTCCAGGAACCTTAATCCTCGATTTTCGATGATCGAGGATCGATCCTCATCCTCCTTTACTCCCTCCCCTCCTCCTCCTCCTCTTCCTCCTTTTTGGGCCGTCTGGGGCCCCCGCTCGGGCCATCGTGCCGTCCGATCGCCGTCCAGCTTGTCGTGTTGGGTGCCTCGCGGCCTATCTCGGCAGCATCTCTGGCGGTTTCAGCGACTTCGGCAAAGACTGGAAGTCGGCGTGATGTGCCAAGTCGTTGACAGCAGATATTTCGGATTCCCAGATCCCGATCCATTTTAGGCGCCTTCCTGTTTTAAGAGTCGAGCGGTTTTCCCTCCCTCCTCTTGAGGTGGCGGGCGGAAACCCAATCTACGTTCAACGCCTTCCTACTTCTACACGCTTCCTTGACCGATGTGGGTATTTGGATGTGTGCCTCCTTAAGTTGCCGTGTGGGGTCCTCTTCGGGTGTCTCTCAGAAAACGCTTGTGGGCGCTCGACGAAGAGAAGGGCGGCCGGGGAGCGGCCGGGGGCGCACGAGAATGGGGGTCGCGACGCTGAAGGACGTCTCGCGTATTGTATGTTCGCGCGATGCGGCGGTGACCCCAGCGCAGGCGCTAGGTAGAACGCCGCCAATGGCACCGGTGGAACGATCGGACGATCGGAAACCGCCGGTTGTTCAACGCTGAACGATCCACGCGGTGTTGGAAACCAACGGCAAAGTCGTCACGACACGACCCTACCGTACTCCTGCCAGCCGATCCGGAAACGGTGCCCAGGCGAATTGCCGTGATCGGGGAAGCGTGGGAACAAGCATTGGAGCACAGAGGAAGGGCAGCCGACAATCCGAAGCTCGGGATGAGCCTGAGCAGACCAAGGAGTCGACAATACATGCCTTCGTGGTTGTTTCAATCTTGGACCTTCTCGAAATCATGTTGGAGGCCTCCGGGGCTCTCCTAGGACCCTGCAGCTATTACTGAGTGTAACGTCCGCTCCGCAGCCATCAAGGCTCAATAAGGGTTGCCGTATGCTTGAGCCTTTTCGGGCCAGATCTAGACCCACACCAGCTTTGTGACAGCTGCGCGTGATCGCGCGCGGCTGCGGCGGCAAACAGGGCCGAGCTTCTGCGGAGCTTCCGCGGGTAAGGACGAGCGAGGTGCAGACGACAAATGGTGAGTGCCAAAAAGAGTGGCAGGACGCCAACAACAGCTGCTGGACACCCGATCGGACGCGAAATTCGAGCCGTGCAGCAGTGATCGCCAGAAGTTCGAGTGTCATTCTTATTCGAGTCCTACGCTCATCTGCTAGGATGGAGCCTCTTGGTAGACAATGCGAGACGGCATCAGGACCCCGTCGCATTGAACCAGTTGGGCGAGGAGTTTCGTAACATGGGCGATATCTGTACTACCTCTTTGTACAACGTGAAATGGGCCATCATCTTCAGTGGTGAAGCTGGTGGAAAGAGGCAGCGGGCTCGAGGATGTCAGAAGGTTGGACGAGGAATACCGAACAGGTGTGGCCGAGCCCAGCGGAACTTCTTGAGGTGATAGCACACTATGAATTCGGGAGTGGCGAGCGCGTGCTGGATCAGATGAAGGTGGTCACGGGGCTGGCGCATGCACCGACGCCCATGAAGGACCTGTTCCGCTCGGCGACGCGAAAAGTGGGGTAGTCGTACGCTACACTGATACAAATCATGTGGGAAGATGTGCTACCAAGGGGCATCGACACGATCGGAATTTGTGGACCATCCCTGATGGATACCGACGCGATCAGCCGTTGAAGTGGCTCCGGCGCGTGCAAAAAGACGTGCGCCGTCTGCGACCGAGTTGGATACTCGAAGGGTCAGTGCTGGTGGCACCCAGGGAAAAGCAATGGCGCAAATGGCGGCGGCAAGGGCGGCCAGTCAGCAGCATTCAGCGCAGCGTTCACGGGCAAGTGCACGGACCATCGGGTGGCGGATTGCAGGAAAACGAGTTCGGTTTTCACACCCACAAGGAGATGCAGAGAGGCTGGGGAGCGCAATGCTGCCAATAAGTCTGTGTTGTTCTAGCGGTCGAGTTCGGCGGTTCTGATGGCGAGCGCGATCAGCGTGATGACGAGGGCCTCCTGCGTGATGGCGATCGCGAGGATAACCGACGAGCTGGGCGACGCGTTAACTGGGACCCTACGCCAGACTTTGGCATGCTGCGCGGTGGAAGTTCCGAGGCGGACGTTCGTGACCATCGATTCGGTGGTAAGCGCACGCTGCTGCCCACTGAACTTCATGGCCATCGAGGCGGTGCGAGGGCCCGGGGATGGACCTACCCTGAGAGACGCCTAGCAGCAGGAAGTCCAATTAGACCCCGTACTGAGAGCGCCGATTGTGGCAACTGGAAGGAGCAAGACGGCGCTGTTGGAGCCCAACTTGAGGGAGGGTTCCACGATCGCCAAGCCGATCATGAGTCTGATGCGCATGGTTGTCGCTGGAGCGGATTTCTCGCAGGGCGCAGGGGGCGTCGGCTCGACGTGCCTGAAGGGCGACCGTGCGAATGCGACCGAGCTGATCAGGCTAGGCATCGAGAGCTACGTGTTCGACGGGGGGATCGACGCGCGGGCGCGCGCGAAGTGGGTCGAGAACGTATGCCTCATTGGCTACGCTGGCTTCTCGGGAGCGACCGGGGTGGGCCGTTCGGGCGAGGCGGCCGCGGAGGTCGACGCGGAGGGGGCGACCCCGGCTGAGGCGGCGGCCCCCGCAGCGGGGCCCGTGGCAGCAGGCGCGTCGGCGGCGGGGCCGGCGGGCGGTGCTGCAGCGGGCGCGGCGCTGACCTCCCCGAGCTGCGCGATCGACTCGCAACATCGCCTGCGAGAGCTGCGCGGCCCGTCGACGGCGCGACGGAGGAGGGTGATCTGGGCTCGTCAATCCAGGGCGCAGGCTGCCCGCGAGGAGCACGCGGGCGGTCTGCGAGAGTTAGGGGGGCGCCGCCGGGGGGGCGCGGGTGGCGCGGAGCCGCTAGGTCCACGTGTCGCAGCAGGATCGAGGGTGCTCGCGTTAGAGGAGCGAGCCGCGCACGAGATGCTGCGCACCCCTCCAGCCGACTGGTGCGCGCCGTGCCAGTTGGGCAATCTGGCGTCGAGGCCTCGCCGGCGCTTGACGCGGGGCGCGCGGGGTGCGGGCCGTGCCAGAGTGGCGCCAGATGTGTCTGTCATGCAGACGAGCGCGGGGTTCTGGGGCTCTTGGCGAGGCCCCGCCTCTCGCGAACCGCCTCGGCATTGTGCTGATCACGATGGGCCGCGACGCGTGCGTGGTGATGGCCGCGCCCGCGGGGGCGATGGAGGTGGCGGCGCGTGGTCAGCGCGGTGTGCAGCTTCGTCGGGGGGCTCGGGGGTCGAGCTGAGCGCCGACGACGAGTATGCGATCCAGGCTCTGCTGACGGCGGTGAAGGCAGCGCGCCAGAAGGATCGCCCCATCCACGAGGCGCGCGGGGCCAGCCTGCGGGACTCGGCGAGCAGCGGTCCAGCGCGATCGAGTCGACGGCGCGGTGGCGGCAGCTGCGCGCGCTGACTTGCCACCGCTGCGTGGGGGAGACCTCGGCGACCGCGCTGCTGGCGGCGAGTGGCGTCGCGTGGCCATGGGGGTGAGTGCGCGCGGCCGCGGTCGCGGACGCCGGCCGGCGACGGGCGGGCCAGCGGGCTGCCTGCGAGGCTGCCGTCGGTGCGGCCGCGCGGGCGAGATGCGGCCATTCGCGGAGGTGGCGCTGTTCGAGGTGCCGATCTCGCGCGCCGCCGACGTCGCGGCGGGGGTGGCCATGCTGACGGGGCGACCTGGCGCTGATGAAGGGCATTTATTTGGACGGGCACCCCGAGAGCGACGACCGCGTCTAGCTGGCGCCGAGAGGGCGGCGCCGAGCCCGCGCGATGAGGGGGCTCGAGCCATTCCGACAGGCTGGGCATTCGTTGCGGGGGCGAGGGGGATGCCGCGGGGCGACCGGGCGGCGGTGTCCAGAGGGGATGGGGCTCGAGCCCGGTTCCGTGTCTCTCGGCGGCGGCGGCGATGGCACATGGGGCCGCGGCGCCAGCGGCGTCGTCCGCCCCCGCGGCGGCGTCGCGCGCCCTTGTGTGCTGCTGCCATCGGGTGGAGAGGCAGCCCCGGCGGCGGCGGCGGCAGCTGCGGCGCCAGTCGTGGATGTGAATGCAGGGCCCGCGGTGGGAGCTGCTGGGCAGGCGGCGGCGGCCAGCGCCGCTCCGCCGCCGAGGCGACGAGTGGGGGGCCCGAGCGGTTGGATGGGGCGTGGGGCTGCGACGGAGGCGCGTCCGCCAGATCCTGGCATCAGAGCGACCGGCCTGGGCGGGCCCCCTGGCTTTTCGATGTTGGGTGACGTCGGCCGCGGGGCGTTCGGGGGGGGGCTCCGAGGAGGCGCGGGAAGCGCGGGCGCAGAAGCGCGCGGCGCGAGGCCATCGAGATGCCCCTGCGCAATTGCGTCTCCGAGGGCGCCCCGAGCCCCCAAGCCTGCGGAGAGGGTCTGAGGCTCATCTGAGCGATGTGGGGACGCAGGCGGCTAGCTGGAGATGGGGCCACGTGGGGTGCGTCGCCCAGGAGTTCAAATGACGGGGGGCGAGCGAAAACTTCTTCGCAGCATCCTCGACCAGCCAGACCTCGAGAACGATCGGCGTGGTTGCGCTGCGGGGGGGCTGCGCGACGTTCGGGGCTGACTGCGTGAAGGCTTGCGCCCGTGCTGATCAGAGGGGGGAAGTGCATGCATGTGCGACCCGCGGCTGGGTGCCGCGAGATGCTCGCGCGGGTGTGCTTGTCGACCGACTTCCCGCGGGAGCTGTGCCGCGAGCTCCTAGGGCGGCGAGCTGCTTGTGCTTGTTGGGTGCAGACTGCCAGCGGGCGGCTTTTGCGCGAGGACTTCAAGCGTTGCGAAGCGCCCCCCCAGTTCTGCCTGATGCGGGCGGACAAAGTAATGATCGAGGTTCACGTGGGCGACTTCCACGGGCGCGGGCCCGAGGGGGCGGTGAATCATTGCGTGGTCGAATGCGCAGAATTGTGTTCGACCTGGAGGCGGTGGGCGCTTCCGCCGAGGGCTGTTTTAGCCGCCTTCGCGGGAACTTGCGTGGTCACCAACGGCGGCGCGATGACCCGCGGGGGCGCGAACTGCGCGGGCGCGCTTCTCAACCCGGGCGGGAATGGGGCCGAGGGCGCGGCGGTGCCGAGCTTGGCCAAGAACAAGTCCGTTGGCGATCCTGACATGCCAGGCTAGGGCTGTGAGCCCCTAGACGACGAGGAGGCAGGTCGCTTCCGGCGAGGAGTTGGGGTCGCTTTCTACTTGGCCGCCGATCGCTGGGGCGTGAGGCGGGGCGCGGAGTTAATTGCGCGACGCCGGAAAGAGCTGGGGATCTCCGACAGGCGGCGGGGGCTGAAGGGCATGCGCTGCCCGGAGGGGGCGCGAGAGTTTGGCCGCGCGCTCCAGGGGGCGCGAGGGCGCCCGGGAAATATCTCGTTCGACGTGTTATCAGGCGCTCGCGCCTGACGGCCGAACTTGGCGCGCGACGACATGCGGCCCCGACGGCGAAGACAGCGTGCCGTGCAGCTGTTTCGCGGATCGCCCAGGGGTCCGCATCGCGTCCAGTGCTGGCGCCGAGCTCTGCAGAGCGAGCGGAGTGGGGCTGGGCGGCAAGGTGGTCTGGCACTCGTTCGACTGGTTGGGCTGCGAGGTGACCTGCGCCCTGCGCGTATACGTCGCGGCCTGGAAGGGCGCGCCACCAGGCAGTGGCGCGGGCGGCGCGAAGCACTTGGGCACGGGCGCTGCAAGTCCAGCAGGATAGGCGCAACGAGGTGCAGCGCGGCGGCAACCCGAGCGACCTCGGGGCCGATGCGCGCCCAGAGTTGCTGAAGCTCTGCTGGTTTGCCGGCTGCAGCGAGACCGACAGTGCGAGGGGCGCGCGGCCCTGGCCACCGTGGCAGGCCCGAGCCTCGTGGGATCCACGACGGAGATCGCCATGCGGGTTCTGGCCCCGGCAATTGCTCTGGCTCGCGGCGAGGCAACTTGCCGTGACATCGTCGGGGGCGGCATTATAGGCGCGGCCAGCAGCTGCGCGTGGTGTTCGACAGCAGCTCAGACCGGACCAACGCGATGGGGATCGCGATTGTGGTGCTGGCGCTGCTAGTGGCCCTCGCGGCGCAGAGCCAGCTGCCGCGCCGACGTTCAACGCCTGCGCCGACGGGGGAGTGTCGTGACAAGGCCCTCCCTCCGGCGATCGCGGACAAGGAAGGGCGTGGTCTGGCGCGCATTCTGCGCGGTTGATGGTTGCGCATTCGCAGGCAATCTACCGCGGAGACCTGACGACCCCGAGGTCCCAGGTGCTGGTGGAGTGGATGCAAGGCCGAGGAGCTTTGCATGTCGAGTCCTACGGCGACGACTCGCGTTGGGCTGATGGCGATGCTGTCGACTGGATAGGTTGATGTATCGTGTGGCGGGCTGGCCCGCGAGGAAATCCGCCGCTGGCCTGACGGCCCGATCGAGCGCCGAGGCAGCGTGGATTGGGCGTCGTGCACATATTGCAAAGGGAACGTCCGCCCCGCAGTCGTGAAGGCTCAATGCGGGTCGCTGCACCGTTCAGCCCCTCTCGGGCCATGCAGGCCCAAACTGTGGCAGGCCTTCTTTGGGCTCTCGGCGCCGCCTTGAAGGCCTAGAGCGCCCTCGCGGGGCCACCTTGGAGGGTATCGATCAAGAAGGAAAGATGCGAATCAGCCCCGCTCCGTCGGAGCTCGCCTATCTGGGTCCTCAGGTGGCTCTCTTGGAGCGCTCTTGGACACTCTTGGGGCTGTCTTGGAATTGTTATGTCCCTCTTTTGGTGTTCTCTTAGGCGATTCTGAAGCCATCCTGAAGCCTCAAGAGGCAACTCGGACGCGCATCTTGGAGCCATCCATATGCTTTCTTGCGGACCTTTCGGTTGCTTGATTGGGGTCTCAATGGTATCTTGGGGCCATGGGGGCCGTGCTGCAGGCAATCGACGTGCACATTTGCCGCTCCTGCTCTCGTGGCTATTCTGGGGCGTTTGGCGCCCTCTTGCGCCTCCTGTGGGCCCCTGTTGAGACCCTCCTGAAAGCCTCTGCGTTTTTTTGGCCATCCTTCGGCCGCAGGTGCCCGTCGGACTCCAGAGAGGGGAAATAATGCCGCTCAGAAGTTTGTGTCTGTCGGGGGCCATCTCGGAAGGCGGGGTAGGGACTCGGAGTCATCCTGGGGCTTTACCCAGTGCCAACCTTCGCAGTCTTGACCCGCTTCTGGAAACATTCCAGGACTACGCATGGTTTTCCCAGAGTCATCTGGGACCACTTTGGACGCTTCAACCCTCTCGCGCCCCCCCCGTCGGACCCGGTACCCCTAAACGGTTATGGCGTTTCACTGGTGCAGTAGCGCTCTTTTTTCATCGTTGTCTCTGGCCCTGCCGCCGTTGGTCCGTGCCACCGGAGATGTTCCCGATATGTCGGTTAAGGCACGGGGAGCTTATGCCCAGCATCTGCGGCAAAGGAAGCCACAAGGCGCCCTCGCCAGACGACCTGCCCGCGACTGGGCTCCAGGCCGCGGTGCGACACCAGGCGCCGTTGGCCGACTCAGAAACCTATACCTACCCTAGCTTTCCCCTTTCCCGCCTTGTCAGGTTCGCTTACGACTCGATTCGATGCGAGTCGATTCGCCAGATGGGGCCGCGATTCCGATTCGAGTCGATTCGGTCCGATCCATCGTTGCGTCGGGTGGGGCCAGGCGGAAGCGGTCGCGGCGACCGGATCTCGATTCGATCCGGGACGATTCGCTGGCGATCCGATCCTTTTCCGCGCTATCCGATGTCGCGATGAGATGCTGCTCAGGCCTGCCCTGCCCTCCCTTCCATCTCGTCGCCCGCTTTCGCCCCCCCACGTGTGAGATCCGACGTCGGGGAACAACAATCATTGTGTTGTTAGAAATCCTGGCCAGATCCCTGGACCCCGTGTGCCCGCTGCATTTTTCTAGCCAGATCGATCCGTGAGAGCCCTGGGAACCGAAATAAGGCAAACTCGCCCGATGCGAAAATTGCGACGCCAGGATCCCGGGATCCCCCACGTCGTTTCGCAAGCGTCGCGCCCTTCCCGCCGCTCCCTGTATCGCGCGCAGGCTGGAGAAATCGTGGCGAGGCAGCGCAACATCTCCGGCGCGGTCGACTGGGGTGCCGCCTGCACAGGCCAGACGTGTCGATTCAGAGCAGTCAGCAATGTTCCTCTCTGAGGGCGCCAAGCGTGCGCCTGCACTGATCCTGGCTGGGTCAGTTCTTGGCCCAGGACTGGTGTGTATATATGCTTTCCTGGCCAAGCTGCTGCAAGCAATTCGGTGAAACCTGTTGGTTCGAGCTGTTGGGGTCAAGCTAAGTGGTCTGAGCTGTGTGGTGCAAGCTATGTGGTGCAAGCTATGTGGTGCAAGCTCTGTGGTGTAATCTCTCTTGTGCAGCTTATTTGCTACTACGAATGCTGCTGCTGCTACTACTACTACTACTACTACTACTACAACTAAAACGTCTATTACTACTACTACTACTACCACTACTACTACTACTACTACTACTACGACTACGACTACGACTACGACTACGACTACGACTACGACTACGACTACGACTACGACTACGACTACGACTACGACTACGACTACGACTACGACTACGACTACGACT